TTGCCTCACTACTCTGAACGAGTAAATTTTATTCAATCTAGAATAGGATATTCAATCTAATGCGAATAATATAATACTCAATTACTTTAAGTAATTTTCATTCAATCTTGGAATTTTCCGAATTTTTTAATACAATTAACTCACTACTCTAAATGAGTAGATTTTTATTCAATCTTGGAATTTTCCGAATTTTCTAATGCGAATAATACTCAATTACTCTTAACAACTTACATTTAATGTTGGAATTTTCCGAATTTTCTAACGCGAAAAATCCACTACTCTGACTGACTTTCATTCAATCTCGAAGATTCCTTATTCGAAACGAAGTGGTATCATTAGTTGCATTATTAGGCCAACCCACTTTAGTAGTCCAGTTAGTAGGCTAGCGTAAGGATAATTGTCTTAGTAAATTAATACTCAATTACTCTACATTCCTCAACATCTGCTAACCTCGTTCCGATCTGTACGTCACGCATTTTTATACCAAGAGGTCCTCATCACTTTTGCACGAACGAACGAAATGGAAATTAAATTCAAGCTTCCACTTGGTTTAACGAGCAGCCTGATCCCGACGACGCTGCGATATCAAATCGCGAAATTCACTATGGCCACGAGAGCAAATTTTAAAGGATTTTCCCGCGGAGCGAGTCCTCCGTAAGCGGAACCGTAAGCGCGCTGGGGTTCGCAAGATTCCACCGTAAATACCGGTTTTAGCTGTCGGAGGAGGTGATGTACGAGCCAGCAGATAGGAAACGGAGCGTCGCCGAAGGACGTCGTCGAGCGAAGGGGCAACCCTCGATAACTCCCCCGGGGCAACGACCACCATCGATATTATCTAACCAGGGGGGGAAAAAAATACGAACGACAAATCCGACAAATGAAAGAAAAAAAAAAAAAAAAAACACTCCACCAGCTCAAAAAGAAAATAAACGACAACTGGAAATCCACATTCAAATCACGACCAAGAATAGTTAAGAACGACTTGTTCAAGAAGAGCATCGCCTGCACCTTACCAAGTGATAACCTCAAGAATCATAATAGGACAAAATTCACAAAACTCACCAACATCTCCTCCACAAGGAAGAACTATGCAAAGTGCCGCTAATGGTGGACCACGTTATTCTGGATTGCAGAAAACGCCTAGAGTGCAACATAAAATCCACCCTAATGGACACAACAACACAACCAGAAACCCTGCACAATACCTAAAACTAACAAGAGTATACAAGAAACTATGATTACCTGAGTCGCTAATTACCCGCAAAGGGTAATGGGTGGTTGATGCGACTATCGTTTCGCCGTGGTAAAAAAAAAAAGAAAGTATCCCTCTGTCGAGCGATTGCGACTGCGACCGCAAATCGACCGGGCGAACGCGCGCGCGAGACGAAGCGGAGGGTTGAGTCTCGATCGGGCAAAGACCTCGTTGCCCCGGCACGGTGGTTCGTTATCGGAGGTTAATTTGGTCGCGGACCTCGTCACGGTAATTAATCCCGATCGGTATTCCGCGGCGGCGGCGGCCGCGAGACGTCTCACCTCCGCCGATAATTGCCACCGACGAACCAGGAGGAGCCTGATTGCCCCGCCGAGCTGCCAACGGCCGACGGGAAAGAGGGAAACGCGCCAGGGAATTCGAAAGTTCGTCGACCGAAATTTCGCGAGGCCGGGTCAGCGACGCGGGCGAGTAGTTACGACGAACGTAGCTGGACGAAAGGCGAACACCGCGGTGGTTTTATCTTTCCGCGATGATGACACGATCACCTGCGGTTGATTGATCACGTTACCTTGGTTGATTCAGGGACCAGACGCTACGTTTAACCCTTTTAGTGCCAAATAACAAATGTATATATATATATATACATTAATAACGTTGTAGATGAATAAATATAAGTACTTTAGTATGTTATGCATCGTAGAATAATTATTCCATTATTCATGACAAATATATGATAAATATACAATTATTATATACAATTATTATTATATATATTATTGTATATTATTATATATAAATATGCAATTATTATTATATATAAATATACAATTATTATATATATTATTGTATATTATTGTATATTATTATATTTTATATATATATATATATATTATTGCACATTATTATATATATAATTATTCTATAATGTATCTTTTGAATCATTAGTTTATATGAATTTTGAATCATTAGCTATAATCCGGCGATTATTCGTTATTTAATATAATTATATAATTATATAATTATTCTATAATGTATATTTTGAATCATTAGCTATAATCCGGCGATTATTCGTTATTTTCTACTCGTTATGTTCAATTTTCGTATAAAAGAATTACATTCCACATAGTACAAAAGATAACTAGCCATAGGGTGCAAAAAATAATTAGTCACAGAGTTCAGAGAGTAACTGACTTTAAGCATTTTTAGTCGTATTATTTGCAATATAGTTCACATCGTTGCGACATTGTACAGGTGTGTGCCATCGAAATAAAAAAAAAAAAAAAGGGATGAAATACTGTACCAATAAACGAATAAACTAACCAACATACTAACAAACCATGTAAAACAATTAAATTAATTTATTTAAATTTGCTTTTAACAGCGCTCTCTTTTCAAAAAGATCGCCTGAGTAAAACAGATACATACATATATAGCAACATAAATGATGTTGCTTTGTTGTTGACGAATAACTAGAACGGCGAACGCAACTCGAGTAACAAACAACCAAATACCAATCAATCAATTGTTAATTCGTCGTTCTTATTCGAATGAAAATTGACTCGGAATAATACTCAGTGCCGAACGAAAGTATATTCATCCACCACCTTAATTCGCGTCACGCTCGTTTGTCACCGGATCGATACTTCATACCGGAACCAGATTCTTCATTCGCCCGCTCTAATAGACACTCGTCCAACTCCTCGACTTTTTCTTTCCCCCCCCCCCCCCCCCCCCCCNTTTTTTTTTTTTTTTTTTTTTTTCTTTTTTTCTCAGACGCGGCGACGGTCACGGTGAACGGTTTCGTAGAAGGAACTCGTTTCACCGGTAGCCGCGAAACAAAGACGCTACCTACCTACCTGGCGGGCAACAAACGTGTCCCGTTTAGGCATGACCAGGCGTTTTATCGAAGGATCGTCCATGTCAAGGATGATTATTTATAAAAATGAGTTCGAAGAAAAACGATGTCGTGGAAGTTTTTTTCTTTCATGTCTAAGTGACAGTTGTCCGGCCTCGTGTTTCGCTTCGTTGTTCTGTTCGTCGCCGAGCTCTAGACTCTAACCTAAAAATTGAAATTGAAAGGAATCCAGACAAACATACGCTGAATAATAATTAATAACGTTCGAGATATTTAAAAGACAGTAGAGGGGAGATGATTAATTAAAGCAAAGTCCAATGAGTAAAATTAAAACGTGACGAAATCGAACGCGCGTCGAAATGAAAACCGACCAGCCGGACGTTAAGGTCGAGGATCGCGGCGAAGCTTCGAAACAAGCACCGAAACACGGTGAACAACAGGACTGTCCGAGTGAAAACGAGTTGTTGGAGTACGAGGAGGACGTTTATTATTCGCACGTGACCGCGACGCCAAGTTTCGACGACATCGACGAGCTAAGCGACGACGCCGAGGAGAAGATCGTCATTCACTGTTGGCGGGACTCGAACGGCGACATAGACGAGATCGTGGTGGACGACGCGAATCTGTCGGTGGAGACGCAGTTCCCGGATGCCGAGGAGGGTGCCGCCGGCGGCTCGATGAAGAAGAAATCGGTTCGCGTGATATTCCACGACTTCTCGAAACCGTACCTGGCCAAGATCAGCAGCAGCCAGAATTACAAGAAGTTCCTCGAATTGGTAAAAGGTGCAGAATAAAATTCGCGAGTGTGGCACGCAAAAAGGGAGTCGTGCATTTCTTTTATAATTTCGGGTATCGTTTTCCTTTTATATATGACGAAAAATAAATAAATTTATCTATTCAATTTTGTTATATCCAATGGAGCAGAGAGACGAGTGAATAAAGCAGTTGATAAAGCAAATGATTAGCGAAGCTTCAGGGAGTCGAGTTTAGTCTTTGTATTCAGGTGTTTTTTTTTTTTTTTTTTTCCGTTTGTGAAACAAAGAAATTTATTTATTCATTTTTAATATAATAGTGCAGATGCCTTGTAATGCAAAAGAGAGACGAATTAATAGAAGAATTAGCAAATATATAATAATACATAATAATATATAAACGAAGACATAGATTGTAGATTGTCGACGATTCTGAAAATTTTTGAAACGTATTCATTCGTTTATTTCTTTGTGGTCATACTTCACAATCGTTCAGTCTGACTGTTACTAAATTATTCCGTACGAGATTAAGCTTCTTGCCCTGAAGATTATTCTGTTTAGATGAAAAAAATTTAGTGCTGTGACGTGATCACTTATTGTTGTCATTCCGCGAGCCTGTTATGTTTAGTGTCCTTTAAGAACGATCTGCCTCTATCATGAATATTAGTTCTCATTCTGTCTCGCAGCAGGCCATGCAGGCCATGCAAACTACTTGTAATAAGATTCCCTGCCTTTTTTCAACTTTAGCAGGCACAGTAGAGAAAACACATTTATATGTACACGTGTGTACCTAATGCGAGTATTGTGGCCGCGACACTCTCAACGCAGTGGGGGGGGGGGGGCGATGCAGGGGAGGGGTTAGGATCAGGAAAGTGGGGACAAGGGCCGCCAGTTAGCCACCTCTGATTTAAATGACACTTAAGTTCACCGAAATTATATTGTTGAAAATAGGAATTAATCCTTGTTGTACGTGTTTCTTCATTTACTTGTATATTTAGGAGAATCTTTGCTATTGAAGAAAGCAAACCGCACAGATTAACATAATTGCGTTGGAAAATCGTAGGACGAAAGTTGGCACTATTAATGATTCTGAAAAGGTTAAATATAATATAAATTAAAAATAATATAATATAATATATAATTAAATATAAATATATAATTAGTATAAATAATTAAATATAATATAAAAGGTTTAATATAATTTTTAATATAATTTTGTGTAATTCAATTTTTGAAATGTATCATTCGTTTATTTATTTTTCTAGGGCTGAACGGTTACTGTGAAATGGAATAATAGATATTTTTGTTGGAAATATGAACTAATCCATGTGTGTACGTGTTTCTTCATTTATTTATTTATATATTTATGCGCAGTAAATGTGCGGTTGGTGACAGATATCTGGATACTTTACATTCATTAGTTACTGCTTCATGTATTTAACATTCCTTTTTTTTTTCCAAGAGATTACTCCATTAGTGAGTAAAAACAGCTTTTTTTTACTGATAATTTTACACATAATTTTACACACTGTTCAGACGCACTGTTGAATAATAAAAAATTTTCATACGATATTTATTTATTTATAACTTCACGTCATGAATGAAAATTGCTGAAAATCACACGATCATTGATCATCGAATATCACATAATCTGAAATGCATACAAAGTGACAATATAAAATTGTCCATTGTAATAATAAATTAAATAACTTGTGAGCTCGAAACACGAAAGACGAATCTTCGTTTAATCACAAATTCTCATTGATCCGACATTTGCAACCGATACGAAAGACACGAGTGGTCTCAATCTTCTTTACGATGGAAATTTATCGTTCGATCGTAATACACGTACGTTCCCCCTTCTAAATAAAGTACGAATGAAATTGCAAAAGTGGCGATGTAACGTTGCTATTCCTCGCTGGAACAGCAGATACCGTTCTCACTTTCGCTGCGACTTTTATCTACTCTTTGCCATTTTGTACGCTTCGTTGCAATTCACCGAATATCTTCTAAAGTAAAACCTTAGCGCGAGAGGACATGCAGCAGCTGCGAATCTGGACGAAGACGCACGTACATTTAAATCTATGCTCAATGGCAGCTGGGTATTGGGTATTTTGCAATGCAACTGTGTCTTGTAAATGATGCGATTATCGTCGTAATTCTGTAAATGGTCGATCTAACATGTGATACGGAGAAATCCGACTCGAAGATAATACTTAAGAAATACTGATGAAATTAATTGAAAGTGTAATTATCGTAAGTGTATACCTGTCGTAATTAAAAGTGTAATTAAAACACTAGAAACCTACCAAACTGGTAGAAATGACCAATTTTGATTGAAAAATTTTATGGATGTAAAAATAGTAATAGTTTCGGAGATTTAAATGATTTTCTTCCGTAATTATATTGCGTTATAAAATTTTTCTATTTCTTTCTGATGAAGATTTCGTGGTTTAATATATCATCCATAGTTTTAATGTTAAAGTAGTATACATTACCATGTAGTTCTGAAATTAAAACGATTACATTATAGTTACAGGTGTTCAACGTTAGAACTACTAACATTTTTAGAAAATGCACACGTCTAATTAGAAATACAGTTTTTTTTATAATCTAAGCTTGCCTCTTGTCACGCTGTCCCTTCAGAGTTCACGTTTTGAGTTTTAATAGCAAAGATATACATACAGTTACTTACTGAAATAGTCGAAATACTTGTAGAAATACTAGGAATATATGTTACATAAATATACTGAAAGTTCATTCGAATATTTGAAGATTAAATGAATATTTAACATTTGAAGGCTCAGTTGCCCTGAGGTTATGATACAACTTAGGTCATATAAGCTGGGGCAGCAAATCACGTTCTACTAAAATAAATACTTAATATTTTTATTAAATTTTGTTTTTCAACGTTCGAAAGAAATAATTTTTAAAACAATGAAAAAAATTATTAAGTTTTATTTAAAATTAATAAAATTATATTTTTATATTTTGATGTTTCATTAAAGAAAAATATATATAAGAAATGTACAAGCTTTTGAATAATCAAAAGACGATGTCGTACGATATTTAAACGAGGAGTTAACACGATCTAAAATAGGAAGCATATGAAATATGCACCGCCAACGATCGAAAGATATATAGGACTTCTGTTTTACTTGAACGAGAGCCATACTATCGGCCAAAAGTTTAACTGTACCTGCTTCAACTTGTACAATTAGTTCAATATTTTCCTACGTGGTAAACATTTTCCACGCGCGATATTACTGAAATATTTTGGAGAAGGAAATTGTCATTGACATTAAATATTGTCCTGTTAGTAATTTGATAATACGTTTATTCAATATGATAGTTAAATAAAATGTTTATTAAATACAATAGGTTTAATAATAAGTACAATATTTTATTAGTAACTTAAATAGTTGTTATTAATTACTAATAATAATAAATTGTTGTTAGTAATGAGTTGGTAATAAATTATTATTAGTAATTAAGAACGTACGCACTATTTATTATATAACAAATATTATAAAAAATAAAATAAATATAAATAATATAACATTATATATTACTATTTATTAAATAAATAACATTATAATGTATGTTATATTAAATATTAAATAATATTACATATTATATATATTATATATATATATATATATTAAATATTAAATAATATTACATATTATATATATTATATATATATTAAATATTAAATAATATAACATATATAACTATTTATTATATAAACGTGCGTGTATTTAAGTTTTTGTCCAGTAATGTATTTTTTTTTTTTTTTTTTTTTTTTTTTTCAAAAAANTTTTTTTTACCACAGTAACGCGGTAAATTTCCACCAGAAAGAAAAGATTTCTTCGTTAAATAAATTGTCATAAATTTCCTGACTCGAAAACAATACGTAGAAAATTTTTTTTTTTTTTTAATTTTCCTTTGCCAGTGTATTTTTGCGTGCGTGCAAAATATTTATATTTTTCGGCAGGTGTAAAAAAATTAGAGTGCGAAATAATAGTGATCGATCTTCGATATTATCGGCAATCCTGTAACACGAAGGAACAATTGAAAATCGATCCGATTATAGATCGTTTAGTTTTACAGTTGGTCTATATTTCTCAATTTACCATCCGACTTTCTAATTTTTTATTTTCTGGCCGTCTAATTTATCTCCCGACTTTCTCTATTCCTCCATTTTATTTTCTCACTGCTCCTTTTTATGCCTCAGGAGAAGACGCTTCTCTTCACTCGGCCGGTTACGTCTCGCCGACGTCGGATAACGTGGTGAATGAGTTGCAAGGACTTTCTTTGGAGGAGCAAGATCGTCAGAAGGCAGAATGGAGCGCGGAACTGGCCAAGGTACGTACTATACCCTTTTTACCATCCTCGTCGAGAACGCTGAATAGCTGAAACTTGTGGAAATACGGCTCTTGAAAAATTTAGAGGATACGAGATCTATTTCAGTTTTAGCTTCGAGCATAGTGGACGTACCCGTTTCAGACATGCACACGTTTCTGTGTTTCGTCGAATTGATCGTTGATATTGCAGACATTGCAGCAGTTGTTATTATTATTTTAGAAGGTGCTCGCGTGGTAAATGTGCTCGTGAAAGCAATACGAAATAAATAAATTGATTACAGTCAGACACGAAATTTTTCACTCACAAACTTAGTCGATATTGGCCCAAAAACTCTTCTTTCCTTCTGTTTTAAACATTCGAGACTCGTGAAAAAACGTTTGCGACTGGCCGTCCAGCATCCAGTAAAAAAATTATATCACGTAATGACAATATTTTCATTTCAGTTGGTCATTAACCCGACCTTTCTATTAATTCTGATTAATTTTTTAATTCATAATGCAACTGATTCATCTACTGAGTTTCTATTTAAGTTATACTATCTTCCGTAATTAGTTGGATACTCTGGTTAATTTATAATAAAGGTTAATTGATATATAAATAGGTAATACATATCATTGGTATATAATTTATATTACGTATCAATTAATTTGTATAATTATATAGAATTGATATCTGAATTAAATACAGTTATTCTATTTTTACTTATTAAATTTTTATTTATTTATATAGAATTGATATCTGAATTAAATACAATTATTCTATTTTTATTTATTTATATAGAATTGATATCTGAATTAAATACAATTATTCTATTTTTATCTATTAAATTTTTTTTATTAATTTTATTTTATTTATCAAAATTTTATTATTATAAATCTTATTGTATTAAATTTAATCTCATATAATTGTCATTCAATAGCAAGAAAATTGTTTGTTCAATGAAAAAATTTTAGACAATTATTAAAATTTCATTATAGACAATTATCGCTGACTATCGATGTACATTTTATCTTTGTTAACTAAAATTTCGTTCACTTGCAAGGGAAAAGCGTCACCGATTAACCATAAAAAAAAAAGAAAAAAAGAAACTCTGAGAGTAAATTCCAATTCCAGATGTGGAACTCTAACAGTTCATTCAATAAAATCTTCGATACGTGAATAGACGCGCGTAAATTTCGAATTGCACCGACCGCTTTCGTTAGAAACAAAATCCTGACGCGAGTGAGATTACTCGAAAAAAGAAAAAAAAAAAAAAAAAAATAGATGAAAGTTTCGAGGAGGAAGCTGAAGAAGCCGCGTGTCCCGTAGGTGGAGGAAGAGATTCAAACGCTGAGGCACGTGCTGGCGAACAAGATCAGAGTGTCTCAAGAGCTGAAGAGGAAGCTGGGCATCAGCGTTTGGAAGGAGATCACCGACGACATGAATCAGGGCTTGAAAAACGTTAAGGAGAGCCAAGTGTACGTTCTTTTAATCGATCCATTCGAAGCACGCCGCTTCGCTCTTCTACCTCTATCGCCCTCTCATCTTGCACGAACCTCGCGAGTCTTCTGGGCTGGGTTTTCGCCAGTGCTGTCACACGCATGGTCATCATCAGCACGATTACTTGTCCCCTCTTAATCAATTGTTGATCGGCAGTTCATTTCGAGCAGAATATTTCCTGTTAATCGATATTTTTTAATCTGTCTTTCGAAATCTTAATTAAACTATTCAGCCGGATGTTGTCTGTTTCTACGCGCGATACGTCTTTGTAATCGCGAGGAATGAAATCAGCTCGCTTTTTTGTCGAAATGTTCAAATTGGAAATTTTTTTTTTTTTTTTTCAAGAACATCCGCACGCTTCCGATCGAACTTGTTTATTTCATTTTATTTTATTTTATTGTATTGTATTTTATTTTATTCTATTTTATTTTATTTTATTTTTATAATTTCGCGTAAGGTGACGGCTACCAGCCTCCCCCTAATCCCCTAATCCCGTTTATTCCCTGCTACTTTTGCCATTCAGACATGTAGAACACTTTTCTTTGACTTTTGGTTGGGTTCTCATTCAGTTATCAGAACGTCAACGAGAAACTCGGTCAGTTCACCAAGACGATCACCAAGAACACTCTGTAAGTACACAAGCAATCGTGTGTTCTCCTTTTCCAACATTTCTCCCATCAACCGTTAACCGTGACGATCTTCAACTAAAAACTCAGCTTCGTTTCTCCTTCTTCCTTTTCCTCCTTTTTAATTTTTAACTCTTGACTGCGTTGGAATGCGAATCAGATCGTTGACAACTAAACAATAAAGAACAGTCTTAACCAACTTAAAAGTAGCGTCTTGGCGTGAAATGTGATAAAAATTAATACCTTTATTTTCTTTTTAAAGTAGTTAAATGAAAACAATAATTTTGGGCGAACAATTAAATTTTTCATAATTGAGCTTATATATTTACATTTTTATTATAATATATACATATATATATATATATATATATATATATTTATTTATTTATTTATAATTTATACAACTACTGTCTTTAACAGAATTAAATTTTATTAATTAAAGAATATTTAATATTGTAATTGTTAATTGAATTCAATTCAGTCCACTTTTATTTTGTCATTTACGTATATAATATTATAATATTTAATAATGTTTAATATAATATTATATGATATTTAATATTATTTAATGTATATTTTTCATAATTGAACTTATATACATTTTTATTATAATATATACATATATACATTTATACAACTACTACCTTTAACAAGAATTAAATTTTATTAATTAAAGAATATTGAATATTGTAATTGGTAATTGAATTAAAAGATAATTCAATTCAGTCCACTTTTATTTTATCATTTACGTATATAATATTATAATATTTAATAATGCTTAATATAATATTATATGATATTTAATATTATTTAATGTATATTTTTCATAATTGAACTTATATACATTTTATAATTTATACATATATATATTTATAATTTATACAACTACTGTCTTTAACAAGAATTAAATTTTATTAATTAAAGAATATTTAATATTGTAATTGGTAATTGAATTAAAAGATAATTCAATTCAGTCCACTTTTATTTTATCATTTACGTATATAATATTATAATATTTAATAATGCTTAATATAATATTATATGATATTTAATATTATTTAATGTATATAATGTATATTATTTCTCTTTTTTTTTTTTTTTGGCTTGTAGTCGATATTCTCAACTCTGACGTTAAAATTAAACTAAGAAATCAACGATTCGATCGCAGGATACCAGTTAAAAGTATTTGAGAGAAATTTTGGATCACAATGTTCACGCGACACACACATACCACAATAACTACTCCTGCACGTTGTCACACACTACTCTACTTAACTAGACGAGACACGTACGAAGATAGAGATAAAGAAACAGAAAAGACACGCATCGCGATTAATTAACGCCAATTCGCTAATCCCAGATAGAAAAATTTGCAATGTAAATTTCACAAAATGTAAGATTTTCTCAAAACATTTTTATTATTTATGTGCACCGCGTACATACAACGTCGTTATTGTGTGTTTTACTGCATGCTCTTTCCGTACGTAAATCGCAAACATTGGCCGCCACATTCGTCACCACATTTATTGTCACTGCACCTATACATACATACATAGCATCTGGATCTTTTATGCGATTCAAGTTCTGGGTGTGTCGGCTACGCGAGAGACTCGAGAATTTTAAACTTTGCGACTCGAAAATCGCTCGGGAATTTCCAAATCCCATCTTCCACCTTTTTTTTTTTTTAAATTAATCGCAAGACAAGCTTTTACATAACGCCGATCCAGCGACGAACGAACGCTCGTGACTAATCCCGCTGCGAGATCGCCGAGATCCTTGTGTGTGAGTAGAAATGCATGAAACGCAATCTATCCATGGAGCTTTTGAATTCATTGCCGTGGTGTGTCGTGAGTCGAGTGCCGTGATCAGTGGCCACCGACAACGTGGCCTCGCCTGTAACAGGACAGCAGGATGAATAATACTTATCGTTTCTTCTCCTACTGCTGCAGATTCCAGAAGACAGAGTCCGTGTTCAAGACCACGGCTGAGAAGACGACCAGCATTCTCGGTGGCTTCGGCAGCGGACTGTCCATGAAACTCGGCCAGATGCGCAACTCCGATAGCTTTCGTTCCTTGGAGGAACGTGTCGGATCTGCCTACGAGAACATGAAGGTTGTTGTTAGTAACGATCGGAGGCTTTTTAGGCTTTTAGGCCTTTTTTTCTTAACTCTACTGCCCGTTGGATTATTGTTGTCGCTGTTTATTATTACTTTTTTTTTTTTGCCATTATTTATCGTTCGTGTTTTTATCTTTATTTCTCGTCGGAGAAGATGGAACGGTCGTAATATATTTTTATATTTACGATAATTTAGAATAAATTAGATAATATTACGACCATATTCGGATAATATATTTACGATAATATATTTTCTTATTTACGATAATTTAGAATAAATTAGATAATATTACGACCATATTCGGATAATATATTTACGATAATATATTTTTTTATTTACGATAATTTAGATAATATATTTACGATAATATATTTTTTTATTTACGATAATTTAGATAATATATTTACGATAATATATTTTTTTTATTTACGATAATTTAGAATAATTCGGAGTAATTTTTTTTTTTTTTGGTTGGGAAGAATATTTCTGTAACGTGGGAGATTTTTATTTTCCACGTTGCAAAGAAGAATATTCCCGTAATTTTACTTTCGTCGAGAATATTTCTATTTTCTGCTTTTATTTTTCAAGAGAATAATCTTCGTTTCTACGTGCAAAAATAATTCGAGAGAATGAAAACCAAGTTTCCCTTTTGTTGCGAAACTTTTGTTGCTTGAAGATTCAGGCATAGTGTCTCACAAACAAAGCTGTTCTAAAAATTAAAAAAAAAGAAAAGGAAAAAGAGAACGAAGATCTCACCCCAGAGGAGTCAAAAGTCAATCCAAGAAAAATGTGCTTGAAAAAAAAAAACATGCCGAGAAATAGTCTGCTGCGTGGAATATCAGTTTGCTACAAGTTCACTCGTCTATGTTCCAGACGAAAGTCGTGCCTTCGAGGTCCAGCTCGATGCAGAGCTTCAACGAGATGCTTCGAGAGACCGAGTCGTTACGCTCGGCGCCGACAGCCACCAGCCCGACCATCCCCGAGGACAAGCTTCTGTCTTAGAGTTGGCCACCTCGTGTCGTCTACGTCGATTTCTGCCTCTTCTCTGCGTAACATGCTGACGCGCGTCGGTCAACACACGATGGCCGGGTGTTGTTTCGCCCTATGCTACTGTCACTATCACACTTTCCACTGCGTACTGCTAATTAATCGGGGCTAATGCGATGTCTACGTAATCGAACGTCTATTTAAGAAAAGAAAGGGAAAAAAACAACACACACACACAAAAGAAAGCGAAAGAAACACTGTTGAAACTAATCCTGAGAATTTTACATTCTCTAGAGAACGTACTCTTGATAATTTATATTAATCTCGCCGATGAATCACTTTGCCACGCGCATTCTGAATTATTTACAATCGATCGGTTACATTGTATCTGTGTACGTTTAATTTTGCAATTATTAATCAAGGCAGGAGACAAGTATATTTTCAACAGTTACAAATTATATTCGCGAAGCGCGCTTATCTGAATAATAATAATTCAACTCGTCTACTGTGTCGATTCAATTACGATCTCCTGTTACAATTTCGATACGCACGTTCTCTGGGGAAGTGCGAGATTCTCGATGAAAGAGCAAAGAGAAGAGACGCTTCTTCGTGAATGGCTTGAATAAATCGCACGACACGTCTGCCGAGAAAGAAGAAACTTCCCACGACTCTCTCCTTTATTAAACGATTCTCCTCGTTCACTTTTTTTCTGTTTTTTTTTAATAATCGATTTTTTTACGTGCAACGTGAGAGGGAAGAAAATCTTCAAAAATAAAAACAATAAAAAAAAAATAAACTCTCTCGCGAAACTTACTTTGTATCAGAGACATGTTACTCAAGAAGATGGCGATTTGATTTTTTTCATACTTTGCCGAAAAATTCGTTTGCACCCCCCGTAGCGATTTTTATAACGCATAATAATAATGATATATGTATATATCGTTGGACACGCACCTTAACGTTTTTAGAGCGTTTCAACCATGTCTCTCTTTCTTTATTTTTCCTTTTTTTTTTTTTTTTTGCGAAACGTAGGGCACAACACACGCTTTTCAAGTTAGGTGATTTTTTTACTTACTCTGATGGCGTTCCCGTCCTTGTCTAAGGATGCCCGATGACCTTGCGAGAAAACGATACCTCGATGTATTCCTACGACGTACGAATTTCTGACTATCAATGTTCTTCGATAAGACTCGTGCTTCGACAATACTATCTATTTTCGTGTGATATGAAAAGGAAAAGGAAAGAAAATGAATAAAAGGATCGATGTTTGTCGTGGAACCTCTCTCTCAGAATAAATCGAACATTCGCGCGATAATGTAACACTCGTAAAGACGTCAGGATCAATTGACGCGGGGCACAGGTGATCGCCATTGTTAATTAGTAATTTATTTGTCAATTGAATTAATTGCGAGTCGAGAAATTGATTTGCCTCGTCTACGGAATATTACAGCGAGTGCTCTGCTTTTGATTCTGTTGATTTTTTTTTTTTAAAGTTTGATCGCATCTCTCAAGTATTTCCGAGAATTATCCTTGTAGCTCGTTTAAGAATTTTTATACGTGAAATTTGAAACGTTTTGAAATTTTGTTAACGCTATTATTTCGAGACGATTGAAAATTTGAAACTAACCCGCGTCACGGAAACTTGTAAAGAGTACCACTTAATATTAATTATTAAGTGTCATTAATTGTAACAGAATTGAAAATTATTTATGTATTTGTCCAATTATATTTTATACTCTTTCTCCATCTATATAATTACTTTATAATATAAAATGATTTTTTTGTAGAATAATTATTTTATAAAATGTACTTAATAAAAGATGTCCTAAACATATATAAGCAAGTTCCGCGAATAAAATGATTTAACCGCGAATAATTTTATTGAACAATTTTAAATTTTCTTTCAAACTTTGTCCACGAGACGATGATAATTAACTCTCGTCGCAATGTCAATGAAATTTCGAAAAGTCTGTTCAACATATCACTGAATGTCTTCACAATGTTTTCAAACTCCGTTCATCATTTCCACCTTCGACGAACGAAAATTGCTGGCGATCACGATGGCTTTATTTCGAGATGGAAATCGCGACGCAGACTGTTACATTACACAGCGTGAGTGTGATTCTCTATCGGTGTAATACTTTGAAACAGTGCTAAGCCTGTGCTGTCTGTACGTTGAAAGAAGAGATTGTTCTCGCCTTGAAGAGTTTATGAGAATTAGGAAAGTTCGAAAGCGTTCGAACTTCTGGTGAAGGAGAATATTTTTTTCACCGAGCTGCGGTGAACGAAATTATGCGTCGATCGCTGCGCGCGTTCGAGAAATCCGACACGTAACCGAATATCAGAAGCGCACGTGACGCGTTTAAGTGAGCTCTGTTTCCGTCACGGAAACTGGAAACTAATTCCTTGCGAGCGAGTGCGTCGTGCACATGTATACGTCGTCGTCGTCATCGACGATTCTGCTATTATACCTGTTCGTGTCGGCGAATAAAATTATTTTGACAAACCGCTACGCGTCGAACAGCGACTTTTTCACACGCTTGTTACTACATTCAAAGATCTATATATAATATATGTATACGTGTGCTTCTTTTTATTATGTGAAACTTACTCGTACTTACGATGGGAATTTAATTATATACATATATATTTTTTATGAAAATCTCAATCACCGTTTCCCCCCCTTCTTCTACTAGTTTCCGGTAGGATTTCACTTTCGATTCCTAGTTGGTTGGACAAGATTATCGATTTAGATCAAGATCCACCGAGTATTTTTCCCTGTATCTCATATATATATATATATATATATATATATATATATATATATTTGCATTGTATATTTGAAGTGTACGTAATTCTTTGCATCAGTCGATTTTTCTTTCTTCACAAAGTGTTTTTCAGGATTTTTGTTTCTTCGTGTCATTGGAATAATCTTGCATATCGTTTAAGTATTGTCTGTATAATTCGTACGATTATCTTAAGATTACCGTCCTAATGATAAGAAACAATTTGTGGAAACTACTCTACCCTCGAGTGTTCCAGTTTCCTGCTTATAATAAATGGACCACTTTATAGACTGTCTTAACTATCATCCTCTTTTTACTTATTTAATGTCAATTAACCCCTTGTTTGCCAATTTTTAGATGCGAGGGAGAGAGGGAGAGGCAAATTCTCGTTCTCGGCCTGCTGAGAAATTTTCATTTATTGCTATTGATTTATATTTTCAGCGTCGAGTGTGTTTCTATGTTATACTAAAAAATTTGGCTTTTGAATCTTTTTTTCAGATACATCTGTAAATGTGTTTCATCGAAATTCTACTCTTATTTTAATTTCTCTAATTATTTTTTACATTTGCTTTTATTGTAAATTTGTATGTGATTATATAATTATTTATCTACATATTAATTATCCGTGAAAGTATATTTCACATTTATAATATTCATTGATTTTTTTTTATTATTATTATTACTATGTATTTGTAATATATATGTATATTGATTTCTTTCGATTATTAGTTATTTATACTGTATTCTTTTATAAGTCGAGTGAAATGCACGTGCGTTTGAAATTCGCATGCAAGTAATAAGTGGCAACAAAGTGAAACTCCTTTGGAGCTGCTTTACAAGTTTCAAAATTGCGAACGCTCGTTCATATTAAACTGTAACGCAGTTCTTTCGTCGAGCTCTTTTGTATCGGAGAGAATAAAAAGGGAGAACGAGAAGGAATTTCTTAGCTGAGAATTTCTTCTTCGCGGTATATCAAGGTTTTTTTTTGTTTATCGCGTGGGAAAAGAATCTCGATAAAAAGAAGCTTTTACTTCGAATTAATTTCTTTCGAAATCTCTTGTAATTTTCGTTATTATTATTAGCATTCAATTATTATTACTGCATAGTTGTACGATGATATCATAAAATTATATGCTTGTATTTTCTTTAATCTACGGTTATTTTTATAAAATATAGAGCTCCAATGGTTTCTAATATTCGTTTATTAATCTCTCAACGTTTACTCTTTCTTAGAAATTTAATTTCCAGTATCAAAAATTTAGAATTTTGATTCCACTCTGTTCTCCAATTAATCATTATAATATATATTTATTGTTTCTCAATCTTAATGTCCAAAAGTGACTAAAATTAATATCTTGCAATTTATTATCATATATACTTACGTATGTATTTCACGTTACACCCAACTGATGAGAAATTTATCTGTAATTCCAGTGGCTTGGAGGATGTGTGTGCCTGTCTGCGTGTGTCTGTGTATGTGTGTGTGTGCACGGGAAGAGGATGCATGAATGGAGCAAGGATCAATTCAGAAAATAACACGCGTACATTTAAAAAAAAAAGGAATTGGTCAACTACTTTATTGCCATTCTTCACGTGGTACAAAACATAGTTCGTGTGCGTACAAGCACGCTTAAGTACAAAACAAAAAGAAGAAGGAGGAGAATAAAGAACGAAGAAGAAGAGAAGAAAAGAACGATCTTCTACAAAGTGGTCTTCTCCAGCTGCATGGCGAGAGCAAAAGATAAAAAAAAAAAGGTAAGAGACAAGAGAAAAGAAATTTTAAAGAGAGAGAGAGAGAGAGAGAGAGCTGTATTAACATTATATGCATACATATGCATGTATGTGTATACATATATATATATATTCATACATATATCTATATATCTGTATACGCGTATAGAAACATGTGTGTATATATATATATTACGACTTCGTTAACAACATAAAATGTAATTATTCACATAACACAATAATCTGCGATCTATAATATTATAACGATCTGGTTTTTTGTACTGGATGGGCCAACACGTACAATTTCCAATACATATATATATATTAGAGATTCTTCGCGAAAGAAATTCTTCCTTTCCTTTCCGTTTGATCAACAATTATTTTTAATAAATTCAAAAAGGAAACGGAAGCGCCGATCGCGACAGTTTTGAGTAAAACAGAGTTGGCCCGTCGCTTATTTTATCCAGACACCGTGCACCAGGCCTGGCTGAGTATTATTTAATTAATTATTATATATTCATTTATTTATCGAAGTCATCTCGTAACAGATATATCTCGTTACCATGGTAACCTTGAAACTGGGTCCGCTATTATCGACAACATGTTGATTCTCTAACATTTGGGCTTCGCGTCAACCCCCTTTTTTTTTTTCAGCTCCAACCCCGTGGATCGCGATATTACGATCCTCTTGCGATCTCTTTCTTTCTTTCTTTTTTTTTTTTTTTTTTTTTTTTTTTTTAACGCAACGCCACGTCTTCTCGTTATATATATGTACAAAAATAGAAGGGCATTCGTCGATTGGGCGAAGATTGTTTTTTTTTTTTTTTCTTTTTGTTTTAAGTAACTCGTTATTAAGTAAAATAGAAACACAGTTTTCTAACGTTCGTGGTGAGCGGTCGAGAGAGATTAACTAGGAAGTAAGGCGTGAAGAAAAATATATTTATAATATATATTATATATATATATGTGTGTGTGTGTGTGTGTGTATATGTATATCTATGAACAAAAAAGGGGAGGGGAGTAAAATAGTTAAATTAAGTAACGCAGTGCAGCGTAATCGGGAGAGGTTTTATAATACAACAATTGAGTATTATTCGACAAAATCGGCGCGAATCGGAATTTTTTTCTTTTTACGCGTCGAATTTTTCTCACGCGGTAACGATACGCGTAATTTATGGTTACGAGCGAATCGCGAGCTACGATCGTGTTGTTGTCGTGATGAATCGCCGTGTTTCGCTACGCAAAATTTTATAAAACGAAATTATGATATTCGCTGGCGTGTTACATTTTTATGTAAATATTTTTTTTTACTCGACGATGTTGTTTAATGGGATTATTGAATCAATTCAGTTCCTTGGAAACAGTGCTTCCAATAATACAATACGGTTATATTATTATTATTTGGGATATTTGTGTATAAATATATGACATTTATCAAATTACGTATCACTCTGCTTTAGCATAGTTGTGATTAAATTATTCTATCTTGTTGTTCCATTTCTACAGATCTTTTCCTTTACTATAAATATCATAATTATAACCCTACTGCGAGACTGAAAAATTTTTATTTCTCAATCTCGCTCTTCTTCGCAGAACGCTTAACATTTCGAAAGAGAAAAAAAAAAAAAAAAAAAAAAAAAAAAAAAAAACGTAGAATTTGTGTAGAATTTTCAGATCAGGTGTAAAATTGTCAGAATCTTTTTTTAACAAATACACACGTCAGTTTCTCTTCTATAAATATTTCCCTTAACTGTAGAAATGAGTTCAAAGTCTACTAAAATAAATTTTACTCTGCAAAAAAAAAACTTTTCAACGTTCCGAAGAAAGAGAAAAAAAAAAAAGACAAAATTGCGCACACTTTTAAAACTTTCAGTATTCAGTTATGTATAACGCTTCTCGTTCGATCGCGCACAGTTCTGTACATAATTTAAAACAATACTGTATAGAATTCTGTGCACAATTTGAAACTCGATTCAATTTTCTACGCAATCTCTCACTGAAACAAAAAAAAAGCCTTTTCAACGATGCAAAATGAACACAGTGCACAGCAGGTTTATTAAAATGTTACGTTCTCATGAACTCGTCGATTTCTTTCTTCTTCTTTATTTTTCTTTTCTTTTTTTTTTTTTTTTATTATCATAGGAATAACATGATCCCTTCGCGCCTTTTGGGAGAAGAATAG